TGTTAATGTGGCCAGCCTGAGCTCGACGCGCATGTCGCGTTTGACACGACGCAAATATTTGGTAAATGCTGCGTTGCTCTCTGTCACGCTCTGTTCGGTTCTGCCGGTTCGACTCAAAAATGCTTTATTCCTGTCGCGAGCCTTACGTAGGCTCGAATATTGCGTGTGATAGGGCGCCGTTAATCGGTCGCTGCTGCTTGTATTCTACAGTATCCAATATGTTCAATTCACTTGTTTCTGTCTAGTATACTCTATTGCGTTCTGTTCCGATCTGGACGGGCCGACGTCACGTCGTGACGCATGTTACGTTTGACACGTCGTCCAATCGGTCGTTGCTGCGCCTCTTGTTCCTGTGGCCAGCCTGACCGCGGCGCGCACATCGCGTTTGATAAAGCACGGGTCGTCCGTCGATGGTGCTTTCTCTTTTAGGTTAAACCATGTCCGATTCTAAACGGTTTTCATACACTATATTATGTTGTGCTCTGATATGTTCTCTTCCGTTATCCTTTGTTGCGCTATTTCCAGCTACGTTGTGTTACGTTCACCCCTCTTCTTTACTGTAGTCTCATCTTTCCAATTTTAATACGGCATGCTTGCGCTCGTGCGGATGTAGTACATCTGAATATGATATGAACAGCACATATGCTTCTTATTATGATACTGCGCTCACATGTGCATTACTATTGGAAAGTTTGCTGTCTTGCTCTCTCGTGCTGATCTATGATATCACAACCCAGTACACCTACGATATTCCATGATACAATGCTGCTGCACTCATTTGTACATTGCTAGTCACTGGTGTTTCACTGTGGTATTGCCATGCATTAAGGCGTTGTACTACAGGTTTGTTCTGTCTTGCATTAATATTCTCACTCACGCGACCTGACAGTATAATAAGTATATGGTGTGTAATGTCTGCTGAGCTGTTGGTGCCAACTGCTATGCGACGGGATGGTCAACACTATGATGTATCTCATTGCCCCAGGAAGCATTCCCTGCCTATGTTACTCAACTCTCTCTCTCTCTCTCACTCACTCTATCTATTTGCGATATCATTTGCAGCTGTGTCACTGTACTTCGTTATGAAAATATATGTCAGATTATGCTGCTATTGTTGGGCTATGGTATGTCGTAATCTATAATACTACCATCGTTGCCGTGGTGCTAGAATTTGCAAAGCAAATATGTATGTGTTTTTCTCTGTTAAGCCATGCGTTACTCTGCCCCGCTGTCCCAGCATAACTTGCTATGTTATATGAGTGTCGATTATGTGATGGTGTGTCTGGTTATGCTGTGGAATGCCAGTTGCCCCCCACTGTCAACGGATCAAGGGGCGGGCCCTGGGGAGCCCATTTGACAGTTGACCCCACTGTCAACGGATCAAGGAGCGGGCCCCGGGGGGCATATTGACAGTGGGCCCCACTGTCAACGGATCAAGGAGAGGGCCGCTGCTCGCGGGCCGAACGCGTCACGGGGGAGGGGGGCCTGGACGCCCGTTTGACAATGGGCCCCATTCTCAAACGGGCTCGGAACGGGCGGTCGGGAAGGGGGTGGGCTAGAGGGCCCCTTGACAGTGGGCCCCATTGTCAACGGGCTCAATGCGCGGTCGCCGGGCGGGGGGGGGGGCGTCCTGGTGGTCCGCTTGCGACGGGTCCCTTCCGCCAGGCCTCCCAGGTCCTCCCAGGAGCCACGGAAATTGCGACAATTTCGCAATTCGCAGTTCGCAGCCTCCCAAGGATGGCGGGATCCGCCGACCCCTTGGGGATCATCGGCGTGCGAAATGCTTCCCCTTCCCCAAACCCCTCCCCCGGGAGCCGGACCTGGTCGATTTGGAGGGGGGGGTCTACCCGGGATGGCCGGGCCGTCTGGGGGGGATACAGCACTTTTGCCAAGGCGGTGTCGACGGCCTCAAAACGGGCGAGGAGGACCCCGAGACATCTCCAACACGGTCCAAGAAGGCGCCGAGTCGCAGGAACAATGTTCCAAGACGCCCAAGATGGCTTCCAGACGGCCCAGGATGCCTCCATGACGCCCCAAGAGGCCTCGAAGCGGCTTGATTTGCATTTGTTTTTTAAATTATGTTTTTGACAATCCAACCTTCTCGGGTTTCCGACGCTTGAAGACGGCCCACGAAGCCTCCAACACCGTCTCCAGACGACTCCAGAAACCCCCAAGTTGGCTTCTAGACAGCCCACGATGGCCTCAAGATGGCCCAACTGAACTTCAAGGCACCCTTATAGCGCCAAAAGCAAGCTCCAAGAAAGGCCCACGAAGGGGACCACGAACGGAACATTCTAGCTCTCCTTTCTTGGAAACCCCGAAAGCTCCACGAGGGGCCCCACGAGTCCCCAAAAACGCACCCACGACGCCTGGGAGAGGGCCAAAGAGGCCCCAAGTCAATCCCCCATAGGCCTCCAAACTGTCTCCCGAAGGTGTCCATGCGGCTTCTCTCGTGATCTTAACGCACATCCTCAAGATCCCTGAACCACGACCCAGCTGCGCCGGAAAGCCCTTCCTTCCTTCCTCGCTCCTCCGCCGTCCTCGCATCCAGCCGAGAAATCCTGGATGAGCCCACAAAAACCCCCAAACACACACACACACACACCCAGCGACGCACCACTTCTCCCCCCCAAGGCCAAGGGGTCGGCCGTGCGGCGTAAGCCAAGAATTCGCCGGCCCACCGCGCCAGAGGCGTGCCAAGATCTCCGGTAACTGGTTAACAATATATTCTAGCTCGCGCGCGCGAGGCGGCTTCTGGGGGATTCCGAACGAAAAGTACCCCGACCAGGTCCCGGCCTGCTCTGCTCAGAAATGGTTTTCGTCCTCGGAGCTGCCTTCGAAGCCTCCCAGAACGCTCCAGGAACGCGTCAAGAAGGCCCAGAGACGCCTCCGAAACGGTCCAAAGGGCCCCGAATCGCCGAAAGATTACTCCAAGACGCCCATGCTGGTCTCCTGACGGCCCTAGACGGCGCCGAGAAACTCCAAGAGAGCCTCAAGAGGCCCTCCAAAAAGGCCCCAACAAGCAACAATCGTCCCGCTTCCTTGGGGAAGCGTAATTTCTGGCATATGCGACACTCGGAGGTTCACAGCGTCGAAGACTGCCCAAGAGCTCCCCAGGATCGCCCCAAGGTTGCCCAACATGCCCCCAAGATGCGCCCAAGACAAGAGGACCCAAAAGGGCTCCAAGACGGCCCAAGGGGGCTGCCTTCCAGGCCTCCCAGAGCGCTCCAGGAACGCGCCAAGAAGGCTCCGAAACGCCCCCGAAACGGTCCAAAGGGCCCCGAGTCGCCGAAAGATTACTCCAAAACGCCCATGATGGTTTCCAGACGGCCCTAGACGCCGCCGAAAACCCCCAAGAGAGCCTCAAGAGGCCTTCCAAGAGGGCCCCAATAAGCAACAATCGTCCCAGGTCCTTGGGGAAACGTGCATTTCTGGCATATGCGACGCTCGGAGATTCACAACGTCGAAGACTGCCCAAGAGCCCCCCGAGATCGCCCCAAGATGGCCCAACATGCCCCCAAGATGCGCCCAAGAGGGCCCAAGAGGGCTCCAAGACGGCCCAAGAGGGCTCCAAGACGCCCCCAGAAAGGGAACTCGAAATGACATTTGAAGCTTTCCGGCCCCAGGGGCCCCCCCGAGACCGCCAGCAGGCCCCCCAAAAACACCCAGAAGTCCCAAGAAGCCCCCGGGAGGCCCAAAGTCAGGCCCCCCAGGGCACCCAAACGGCCCTGACGAGGCCTCAGAAATCTGCAAAACTGCCTCCACAAACTTCCGCGGCACCGGCCATGAGACCCCAACACCGCCGCATCAAATGTCCCCTGCGCCTCATCGACAAGCCCCAGAGTGAGCATCCACGACCAGCAAGCCCCCACGAAGGCACCCGAAGTCCAACAACGCACCACACATGTAGCCGCCCCGTGAAAAGCGACAGATTCCCCTGACAACTCCCAAGAAATCCAAAACAATCGCCCCAGCATCATGCCCCACGCAACGCCTCAGAAAACAGCCGACGCCCCTGCAACTCAACACCGCTAACGACCACCCGGCCAGCCGACGCAGCAGTGCCCAAAAATGGGCCGGCGGAGTGAGCGACGCGATCGAATAAATTCAAAACTCGGCTGCTCCATGCCAGCCTCCAGCTCCCTGTCGTCGAAGCCATGGCGGCCCCTGTGGTTCAGCAAGGCTGCCAGTGACGGGGCAGCACCATGGCCTGGTCGACTGAAAGAAATAATTGAAATTCGGCACTTCCACAAGCGTTTCCCCAGTGCAAGTGCCCGAGTCAGGAAAAAACAAACTGAGATCGGAAGTCAAACCCACGTTCGCTTTGCGAGTGTAAACTCTGCAGACGAGTGTCACGCCATGTTGGCGTGCTTCTTCACTGCCAACTGCTTCCAGTAACGTATCTCGGAACTCCCAAAGCGAATTCATGTCTTTAAAAATAATCAATGGGTTTGTCTTGCTGTTGAAATCCTTGCGTGAAAACATGTGTTCAGGCCTGCCTTTTAGGTCACACCCTTCTTCGAATAATGCATGACGCGTGTGCATATTGGAGTCAAGCGCAACGTGACCAGCTGAAGGCATTTTGCTGCTGTCAACATTGACTAATGTTTTCCCAAAGCGGACAATGAACGTGGCCACACCGTATGGATACGGATTCTTCTTCAAACACCGCTTCCCAGACGAATCGGCGGTGCGATGTTCTGAGCACGGTTCGTTCCACGGCTGGAACCACTTGGTCAAAACTGGTTGCTTCACGTCAGAATCGCGCTGCAAACGAAGACCGAACTCCACCATGCAGTTGGGCACTGGTGCCTCAGAATCAACCGCCTCCACCGAATTCAGCTCGAAAGTCCAAAGTCCTCATCTTTCCAAGATCTTGGCGCTGTTCGGTTTCCACGGAAGAGCTTGTAACCATATCCAGGAGGCATGCTGTTGCTCAGGCGCTGGTCACCCTCCATTCCTGGGGTGCCTGGCGCACAGCGGAAATCACCTTGATTGCCAATGGTGTTTTGTTAAGGGAACGGCTGAACGGAGGCAGAGAGCGTCTTGTTGCGTATGCAGTACTTGTTTTTGTTTGCCTCGAGTTCCAGATACGATGATTCAGACGCAGTGGAGAGGATCCTACTCGTTCCTTCGTGTCTGTGTCCGTCACGTCGTTGACAAAAACTGTCGCCGTGTGCGTTTGTAGCAAGTCGGCAAGCGCAGGCGCATCTCAAATCTGATGGCCTTCTCTCACATACATCCACCTGCCCGTGGGAGACGCCAGCGGCCCTAGACGAATAAACACATGTTCAATACCACTACCAATATCCATTGTGCACGTCTTTGCCCCGATGCCCATCGCAGTTTGATATCTAATTAAATATACAAGCTCTGTGTGCGATGTGCCTTCTTGATCCAGCAGTCCTGCTCCAACCGCGTACTCGTGGCCCTGAAGCGGATCGACGATATTTAATGCTGTTTTGGTGCTCCACGTATTCGAATCGACCCAACTTCGGCATTCAGCTCGCATCTGGTCAATGCCCTGCAACATTCACTGCATCTCGACAATATCGTGCCCTCGTGATGCACGCGTGTTGATGGAAGCGACTGCGTGTGTGGTCGCGAACTGCCTCTTCGAAGCAGTCCGACGCCACCCAGCAAGAGCGGACTGACAGCCACCAACGAAGCGCGGCAGACGTAGAATTTCGGCGGCGCACGGCCTGCCATCTTGAGCATCGAACCGAGATGGCTTGAGCCAAGAGGTCTACGGAGGAGGAGGAGGCCCGGGGGCTGACCCTGCGGAAGCGACCCGCACCTCAATAAGTTCGTTTGCTCTTTCATGCTGGTGCGATGACCCGCGTTATCAATGAAGGGGCCCTGGGACACACAAATAAATACACACAAATAAAAATATCCCCCATATTTTTCCATATTTTCTGGGTTTTTGTTTTCCCCCTCACTTCCCATATTTTCCTATATTTTCCTGGGGGTGGACGATTAATTGTGTCTGTGTGTTTTTTCTCCTCCTGAATCCAGTGGGGGGAAGGGGGGGAGGTGCCGGTCGATCACCGAACCTGTTCGCTTTGAGCAGCCCCACGCACTTTGTGCCCGCGCGCACCAGCGCATTGCGCACCCCCCGGTCGGACCTGCGCACCCGACTCGGTCAGGTTTTATCGGACCTGCGCACCCGATTGCTGGTGGTTGCACGACATTGAAGGGGAACTGGGACACACAAATCAATACACACAAATAAAACTATCCCCCATATTTTCCTATATTTTCTGGGTTTTCGTCTTCCCCCCCACTTCCCATATTTTCCCATATTTTCTGGGGAATCGAAGATTAATTGTGTCTGTGTGTTTCTTTTCCTCCTGAGCGATGGAAGGAGGGACGGAAGCGATCCCATAAAAGGTCTGGCAGGTCACACCTTCCAACCCCCTTCCTTGGGGGCCGCTTGAGGGCCACTCGGAGGCCTCTCTAGGGGCCTCTGGGAGGCCTCTTGGGAAGCTTCTGAGGTCCTCTCGTCTTGTGTGGTCTCGTCTCGTCTGGTCGTCGTGGGCCGTCTTAGGGGTCGTCTTGGGCCGTCTTGCAGGGCTTGACTCGCCGGTTCTGGATTTTCTGTGGAATAGAAAGGTCCGCCCGCCTTGTCAGGGGAAGGCCACGTCGCAACCTTCCGCCTGGCACGGTTCCCGAAACGTACGAAAGCGGCAGTGTGTAAAGGAATGGTGGCGGATCACAGCTCACGTAGCAGGTTTTCCCAGCACTTCCCAGGATGCGCCAATGTATCGAGGAAAGCGCATGGCGGTGGAACTGAAACCAGCTGCATGCAGCAGCCTTGGTTTCGCACCAACAGCACTATGGGCCAGGGGCGGCTGACCTATGGTGGTGCTTTTTCTGTGCGAGGTACCGACCACGCCCAGAAACGCACTACCATAGGTCAGCCACACCCGGCTTGTAGTGGCGGTAAGGTTACATCAGCCCACGATTCGGAACTCCAACGTTCTGAAAGTGCCCAGACTGCCAACCATTTCCATCGTCCTGGCGTCCAAACGCTCGCTTCGGCCCTCGGGGGCCACCAACCACAAAACGCTGCTCCGGGAACAAAAACTTGCCGTCGCTCGGACGTCCATTTCCCGTGTATTTGTCGGTTTCGTGCGTGTTTTTTTTGTTCGATGGTCCAGGATGGTCCTCGATGGTCCCCGCCGAGAAAATATGCACACGTCCGAGCGATGCCAGGAAAAGCCGCCGTCGTCGCCGTCGGTCGGTCGGTCGTCGGTGGTCGTCGGTCGTCGCCCGCACCGAGAAGCAGGAAACGTCGGAGGCGTGGGGAAGGAGGGGAGGCGACGGGAGATGGGGATGACTATTGATGGGAAGCAGAGGCAATGCCAGAGGGGCAAGACGGTGCCAGAAGGACAAGACGGTGCCAGAGGGGCAGAGGGAGACCGCCGCGAGGGGAAAGCAAGGGAGGAGGTAACTGAGCAGGAACGTGCCAACGTAAAGAAGCAAGGCGGGGAAATGGTGGGACGAAGCTAGACGAGGGAGAAACGAACCTCGATACGCGATCCCCGGAGCCCTCGACACATTCCTCGCCACCACTTTGTCGTCCTGGAAATTTCTTGAAGGTCGCGGTGACTGGTAGAAAGAAAACGGCAGTGTCGCCAGCGGTCTAGGAAGGAGAGGATCGAATAGGAGGCGGGGATCCAGGGGGAAGACAAGGGAGGTCAATGAATGAGGTGGAGGGAACGAGGGAGGAAGGAGAGGACGAGGTCAAGGAAGGAGGAGATCATCCTCTCGCCATCCTCCTCCTCCTCCTCTCCTCATGCTGCTCATTGTCCTCCTCTATCGTCTTTCTCCCCCTCCGCTTCGGGCAAGGCGTTGAGCCTCCCAGGGAGGAAAGGGAAACAATTATCCAAACCTCCTCGGTCATCGAACCTCGATTTCCCTCTCCTCCTCTTCCCCCACCTCCTCCGCCCACCCTGATCCTCCTCCCCAACCCATCCTCGATCCTCCTCCTCCTCCTCCCCTCCTCGATCCTACCTTCGACCGAGTCCTCGTCCTCCTCCTCCTCCTCCTCCTCATCCTCATCATCGATCCCCCTTCCCCTCCGCGCGCCTCTGCAACCCAGACGACGCCGAAGCTGGCTCGGCGGAGAGAGACGGACGCTTCCGGTACTCGATCAGCTGGGGCCTCGGGGAAGGCGATGGAGAAGGGAGGGGAGGGGAGGAGAGAGGACAGAGGCGAGCTAGATGCGCACGCGCCATATCTGAAGTCCTACCCCTCCGACCCATGCCTTCCCATTGCACTATATTATTATGTGTCCGCGGACGCGTGCCATAGCAGACATGGATATCCCCCAAAGACCCCTTCGTGTTATGCGCAGTCGGAGGGGGGGAACTGGGCAGGAGGGAAAGGAGGATGAGGAGGAAGGGGGAGGAGGACGAGGACGAACAGCAGCAGCGGGAACTGGAGCGGAAGTAGCGGGAGCAGCAGGAGGACCAGGGAAAGGCGGAGGAGGGGAAAGGAGGGGAGCGACATCGGTGCGGAAGGACTCGGACTCAGACCCAGAAAAGTGGCCCGCGCTGGGGCGAGAGCGCCGTCCTGACGACGGAAGCAAAGCGCCGATCCGAGCATGGGGCCCACGCTGCAGCCAGGACGCCACTCCGAAACACCGCAAGCAGTCGGATGGCGCAGCGCAGCGAGAGCGGGCATGCCTGCGCGGAGAGGGCGGGACACCTCGGGGACAGAGCCGTGGGAGAGAGGCGAGGGGCACTCACAGTGTGTCACTGCTATACGGAGTGGGGAGGAGGGGAGGGACGGCGTCCCCCCGTGTGGTCCCCCGTGCAGTCGGACCTGGGATTCGGTCGGGCACGTCCTCCTACAGGCGGGCTTGGGAGGAAGAATTGAAGACACTCCAAACAAATTCGAACATGATAAATAAAAAACACTCGCAAAAACCGTCGCCCGACTATGTGTTGACTGTTTTTGAATACTCCTCCTGTAAAGGGGCGTGCCCAACTTAATCCTGGGACAGAAGAACATCCCTCAAGAGCATGGACGCCGACGGGCGGGAAGAGGAGGAGGAAGAGGAGGAAGAGGAAAACGAGGAGGAGGAGGAGGACGAGGAGGAGGAGGAGGAGGAGGAGGAGGACGAGCCCCCTCCGCCGGCCAAACTGAAGGACGCTCCGGGGGGGGCCCTCCCCCCAGGAGGCACGAGAGAACAGCCAACGGGTACGAAGGACATCGGGAGGCCCTCCCCGAATCGACCTCGATCTCATGCCTCGGTCCGGCCGTATGTGCAGTGCACCCTGCGAAATGCTTAAGAAATCATGGGTTAAGAAATTCATAGTCTCAGAACTTGGATAAAAAACCCAACATTTTGATCAAAATCTCAAGATTTACATTGAAACGTTAAGAATAATCGAGACTCTGGCAGAAAACTGACGTTTTCTTAAGCATCGCCTAAGGTGTACAGTGGCATGTTCTCTCCACTACTTGTGTGTGTGTGTGCTGCTTCGAATCTTCTGCCGCCAGTCTGCCGCCCAAAGAGGGGGCGGAGGGCAACGCCGGGAGAGGCGGCGCCCGCACCGGACAGTCCGGGGAGCGGGGAGAGCACTGTTCGCACGAGGCCACCACATGCGGGAGACGGGGGAGGAGGGAGAACGGGGAGGGAGAAGAGCAATAGGCGGATGGGGAGGGGAATGAGGAGCGGAGAAGAAAGAGGAATAGGTAGGAGGAGGAGGAGGAGGAGGAGGAGGAGGAGGAGGAGGAGGAGGAGGAGGAGGAGGAGGAGGAGGGGAAAGGATGCAACACTTCAAGACAAAAGAGGCCTAACAACTCCCACGCCTTGCCCACGCCCCTCTTCCCTTCGTCAACTGCGCCTTCCGGCCCCCTCACCTCACCTCGGGTCGCCGGTGAGTCTCCCGCGGCGGGAGACGAGCTAAGGCCGCGGCACGGTGATGATCGGTATCTTGTGCTTCCGCGCCTGGCAAGGGGAAGGCAGGGGGAGAGGGAGGAACGATGTGGGATCGCAAACTTCAGGATCACAGATCGTCGCCTTCCATTCCGCAGCCTTCAGACGTGATCATTGTGGGGCACTCCCCTGGAAGGGGCAGTTCGAAGGTGGGCTCAGTGCCATTGAGCATCGTTTCACCGTTCCCCATCCCCACCAGCGTGGGCTGGGCCCCACTGGCCGATTGACCCCCCTGATGGGGATACAGGCTGCTCTCTTCGGGCTTCGAGGGGCATACGCCCAACTGAGGTGGTGAGACGGTGGGGCTCGAGATGTGGATGGGGATGGGGATGGGGATCGGTTAAACGATACTGAGCCATGCGTGGTCACCCGAAAATCGAAACACGCAGAGCCCACGGGACCCAGCGGGCCACTGGGGACTCGCAGGGACGGCCACCAGGGACTCGCACTTGCCAGGGCCAGCGGGGCCGCGGGACCCCCTGCGCGGCCACCACAAAGTCGCAACACTCGAAGACTGGAGCACTGGGGGCCATACAAAAAAACACCCATCGGGAGCGGCCAAGAGGGGGGCGTCCAAGAGAGGGGGGCACAAATCATGGCCGGCGGCATGTGCGCAGCCCGGAGGGGGGGGGCCATGGACGTAATGAAATAAGAAGAGGCGCCATGAAATCTGGGGAGATATCATGGCCCCCGCCATGATGTCCACCCCCCACCCGGCCCTAGTCATCACCCCACTCTTGGCCGCCCCCGAACCCAGACAGGGGACCTTACAAGAGGCCCCGGGACCGGCGACGGCGAATCGCAACAACAAATGCTGGTGGCCGCGAGATGCATCGACGCGGCACCTGAGACTGGCGACGGCGATTCGCAGCAGCAGGGGCAAGCTGGACCTGGGACGGGCGGCGGCGAGACCGCGAGGGTGCAGGCGAGCAAGACCGGCGACTGGAGACGGCAAATCGCCAGGAGGGCCCAGGAGGGCCTGCGATCCCGGGGGGGGGCTCCCATCGGCGCACCACGACAACTGGACGGGCCGGGAGAGCGGGCGGGACTCCCTGCCGTGCAAGCGAAGCCTGACGGGGCGGCTGGGGTGGACAGAGAACAAGAACGGGCGGGTGACCCGCGCATCGCAGGTCGGGCGAGCGACGTGTCCAGCCCTCTCGAGGTCCGTAGCTGCCCGCGTCCGGCTTCCTCGCCCGCCCGCTCGCTTCCCCCGCCCGCTCGCCCAGGCGGGCGAGTGCGCGCCGATCGAGCGAACGAGAGCCCCGGGTCCCTGGCGGGCTCGCCCGCCTGCTCGAGCGAGCGGTGGAGCGAAGGGGCGAGCGAGTGCGGGGGCTGGCGTTCACGCAGCAGGGCAGGCGTCTGTGTCGGTCATCGTCGTGCTCCTCCTCTTCTCACCTCATCCCCCACTTCCATCCTTTCTCACTCTCCCCGCCTTCCCCACCTCTTTCTGCTGCCTCCTGCCCCGTTTCTTCTCCTCCTCCTCCTCCTCCTCCTCCTCCCCCAATGCCTCTTCGTCCTCCCCCTCATCATCTGCATCCTCGTATCTGCATCCCATTCCTCGTCAGATGCCCCCCCTCCTCCTACTACTCCTCCTCACCCGCCACCTGCATCTATCAACATTCTGGTTGTTTAAGCTGCGTGGGCCTATGCATGGCCCGCGCCACCCCTTGTGAAGCCTTTTCATGCCAGACATCCCAGGAGTCCTGCTTGGCCTCCATGAGGTCCTTCTGCGCTTGCTCGCGCTCATCTCGCCAGTCATCGAGAAAATCACGAACAATTTGCGCCCGCTCCTCCAGCGAGGATGGAGGCCACTGCCGCATGTACTCGCGCGCCTGGGTGACTGTGGCGCCCAGGTGACCCGCCTGTCCTTCACCGGGGCGCGGCTGGCGTAGAAGAGGCCGCACTTGCTGCTGGGCGTCCTGGGCGAGCTCTTCGCCGCGCCGGCCAGGTCTAGCATCGCCGTGGGACCTGACAGCGTCGAGAAGACGCGACGCCACGCCATCCGTTTCAGACACATGCTGCGCGAGCCATATCCAGCCATGACGGACGAGCTCCGTGCCAACACCCTTTGTGGTGGCAGTAATGGGGACCCATTTAGCCTCGATGACATTTCCCTTGGGCCCCTTGGTCTTGATGAGGACCCCCCAAAAAGGCTTCCAGTTCCAACTCCAATGTGTTCGAAAAGACCCGCCGCGCTTTAGCGTGGAGTTCCCAGGCGAAGCCAACGGGCTTGTCCACGGCAGCCTGCGCGGCGCTCTCGGCCACGTCTCGGGCCAGAGACCAATCGCGAGGTCGCGGCGACGGGCCGATGGGAAGTTCAAGTGGAAGCCTCTGGTGGCTATGATAAACCAGCTGGTGCAGACGCACCGCGTTCTTTAGCTGGAGCTGCACGGGATGGCGCGAACGTCCGCCCCACTGCAGATCACAGGCCACCTTGTCGATGGCACGAGAAAAAAGGGTGCCGCACAAGAAAAAGTCGATCGCGGATAAGGAACCCGCACGCACGCAAGTTCGAGTGGGGGGACGAACAGCACAGCGTCCAATCTTCGAACCACGCCAGTAGATTCGACGAGGACAGGGTCGAGGTTCCAGTCACCCCCATAGAAGAACTGGCGCTCCTTACCTAAACTCTGGCCTATCGCCTAGAGGTGCGACGCGTTATTATCGCAGAGTCCCGTGCCCGACTTGAGGAAGGCGCAAACAATAGTGAGCGTTGGCCAGGTGGGTATATCCACGTGGACATTCATGGCCCTGGCTTGGATTAAAGCCCCCTTCCGCCTCGGGCGAACGGAGGCCAATGTGGGCCCGAACAAGCACAACAACTCCCCACTTGGGACGTCCCCTGGCTCCCTTAATGGATGGGCTGGCGAGCATCTTCAAACCCAATTTGTCAACCGAAGCACACCTCTCACCGAGCAGGTCTTCGCGAAGACCGATTTCCTGCGCAAGAAAGATCCGCGCGGGGGACGCGGCCAAACGGTCTTTCAGGGCCCCCCAGGAGTGGCCGTCGCACGTCTTGACGCACATTCTCCCCGCCCAAGCAAGCCCTCGCAGTCGAGGTCAGGAGGAGGAGGGGACTGAAAGCTGCCGCGCTAAGACACAGGCAGTCCGCAACACCTGGGCGCAGGGTTACCCACGCCGCTGGCGCTTGGCACAAAGGGCCGCCACGGCCTCACTGAAGTTACGCTTGTAGACCTCTGGGCTGAGAAGTAGAGCGCCTCGAGCTCCGCGTCGAAGTCGGGGTCGGGCACGTGCTGCTCGGCCGCGCCAGGTCGCTCAGGAGCTGCTGGCGCTGCGTCTGCCTCCGCTCGGCCACCACCGAAGGCCGCCGCGCCCATGTGGTGGGCGAAAAGCTGGCGAGGAGCACGATCGCCCCCATCCTCCATCGGCACATCAGCCTCCCGCTCCAAAGGTGAAGGTGCCATGCGAGGCTCCTTCTGTTTAGCCTGCTTGCGCGCGAGGGCCTCCTGGAACAGCTTGAAGGCATCTGACTCGAACAGGCTGGCGAGATTGGCGCTCTCTTCTGGATCATCAGGCAATCCCTCCAAATCCAGTGAAGCCGCCTTGCCATTCTCCACTGGCAAATTCTCCACCAACTAATGTTGCAACTGCGCGGCTTCCTTATTGGCGATGACGAGCTGAGCTTCGCGACTATCGAGCTTATCATGCTCCTTGCGTATGATCTCATACTGCTGAGAAGCCTGCTCCACGATCTTGTCTCGCTTGATCTCCGCCCTCTGCAAACGGTGACCCGTATTCGTGTGCACCGTGAGCGCAGGTTTGAGAGCCGACAGTTTTTGACGAGTCTCAGCCAACTGTGATTCAATAGCCTCTTGGGTGTCTTCACTGCCAGGTACCTTTCCAAGTGTGAGCCGAACCTGTTCGAACTGCTTGATAGTGTCTCGACGATCCTGCTCTCGCTTGTCCGTCTTATCAGGTTTGACGCCATCGGTGGCGTTGCCTCCCACGTCACTGCCACTGGTCCCACCGGTAGGAGTAGCAGGCAGGCTACATCCAGCCACCAGCGCGTCGAACTTCTTCTGCAAAGCCTCCAACTGCTTCGATACGTCGAAATGCTTCGGCGGCTTGTTAGCCCACACTCCTCCTGGCTGAGCTACCTTGGCACTGTGTGCTGGTGCGGGACGTCCACATCGACATTGCACGCGAGAGGCCCAGTTCATGCTGAGCCCGCAGCCTCCACAAGACCAGAAAAGGAGTCCGAGGCCCAGGAAGCACCTCGCCGCCATTGGACATGTAGCGAGGGCCTCGCCGAGGCAGCCCGCGGAGCGTGTGGGTTGAGATCCCACGAACTGAACTGATAAGCGATCCGAGCCAACGGCTCGCACCAGCGACTGCCGCTCTGAAGACTGCTGCTGCAAGCTCAGGAATCAACACCTGAGCCAGAACGGCTAGGGAAGGGGGAGGAGGAATCGGGGAAGCGGAGGAAGAGGAGATGAACGAGGAGGGGGAGGAAGGGACGGGGGAGAAGAAGGTTGGGGAGAGAGGAGGAGGGAGGAGCCAAGCTAGGCGCGCTTGCGCCATATCTGACTTTCTACCCATTCCACCCATCCGTTCCTATTGCGCTATAACATTCTCTGTCTGCGGACGCGCGTCATAGCCGACCTGGATGTTCAACAAACAGATCACATCGTGCTATGATGAGCAGGAGAATGAGGAGGACGAGGACGAACAACAACATACATAACTGGAACGGAAGAAACAGCGGGAGGAGCAGGAGGATCAGGGGAAGGCGGACGAGGGGAAATGAGGGGGACGCCTACAATGAAAAATAAGCCGGATCCAGAAAAGCGGTCCATGCAGGGAAAGAGAACCATTCTAAACGATGATAGCAAGCCAAACATGAAGCCCAAGCTGACACGGGAGAACCATGTTGAAACACTGGAAACAGTCGTATCTTAAAACAAGAACATACGAAACCATTACCTTTGAAATCCAGTGTGAAAAAACGGTACGCGGAGAGGGCCAATCAGCTTCCGGGCAGTGTCAGGGGAGAGAGGAGAGCATCATTCAGAATGTGCAAGTGTGGAGAGATGGAGGAGGTGGGGGAGGAAGGGACGGGGGAGAAAAAGGATGCGGAGGGCGAGATGGGTGGGGGGAGCAAACGGGGCGAAGGAAGGGAAGGAGGGGGAGGGGAACGGGAAGGCGGATGTGAAGGAAGAGGAAGAAGATGCGGAGTTGAAAACGGAAGGGAGGACCAAGGGTACAGAACAGAGGGGGGACGTTGAAGGAGCGAGGGTGGATGATGGAGGGTAAGAAGGGTGGAGGACGGAGCAAGAAGGAGAGGGAAGGAAAGAGGAGGAGGAGGAAGAGAAGGACGAGGAGGAACGGGAAGGGAAGGAGAACAACGGGCATCAGGAGGGGGGAGCGCGAGCGAGGCAGGGCATGGCGAAGCTAAGGCCCGCGCGAACTCCAGGGAATCATCCCGCCGATACATGGTGCCGTCCTTAGAAACACCGCCTCGATCCCACGGGATCCGAAACCGTGCGAGAAAGTCACGGCGACATGCAACATGTTTTTTTTAGCTCGCCGGCTCCTCCTGGATCCCGGACAGGGTACTCCAGATTTCGTAATAAATGGAGGGGGGTCTCATTTCGGGGGGGGGGTCTCTTCCAGGCTATCTTGGAGGGCCTGGGGGGGTCTGGGGACGATATTTTGGAGGGTTCTCCCACGGGGGAGGTCTGAAATGGCTTGTCTTGGAGGGTCCAGACCCCCTCCCTTTTATTACGAAATCTGGAGCAGATGGGATGGAGCTCTCTGGAACTCATGGGCGATCCCGCCAGATCCCACGGATCTGTTCCGCGTGGGGCCTCCGCGCCGCTCTGCACCCCTGGGCTCGCGGCCCGAGGGGCACAAAAACGCGCGGCCGCTCTGGGCGGGCCGGTATGCGGTCCCGATGCGGTCCACGAGTCGATCCCGATCCGGGGCGGTCGATCCCGATCGGGCCGAGTTGAAGGGGAACTGGGACACACAAATAAATACACACAAATAAGAATATCCCACATATTTTCCCATATTTTCTGGGTTTCTGTCTTCCCCGCCACTGCCCATATTTTCCCATATTTTCTGGGAATCGCCAATTAATTGTGTCTGTGTGTTTTTTCCCCTCCTGACGAGTCCTGCGGTCCGATCCCCGTTGGGCGTCGCGACGGCCACCCCCCCCCCCCTCTCCACGGATCCAGGCCCACCCGCCGGTCGAGGCACCGACCCCAGGCGGTCGACCCCGGTCCGGCCGAGTCCTGCAGTCTGGCCGATCCCGATGCGGCGGTTTCTGCGGTCCCAGACGTCGTGTTGTCTCATCCCGAACAGATATTTCCTTGACGGCCCCGGGGCCCAGGAAGGTCCCCGAAAGACTGAAAGCCGACGAGAAATCATCCGTCGTGATCGTGCTACCTTGCTCCAACTCCTTCTGCGTTATGTCCCCCCTCCTGCTCTTCCTCCTCTCCCTCCTGCTCTCTTGCTGCTCCTCCTCCTCCTCGCCGTCCGCCGCCAGTGACAGCAGCGAGGAAGTCCTATAGGGTGGATAGAGAGACCTGCCCTACTTCCTCCACCTCCTGCCCCCTTCTCCCGCCCTCTCACCGCGCACCTATCTTTGAGGAGCGTGGCCCCGCGGGGGCCAAGCGCGTCGGCCAATGGCCTCGGTCGCGGTCGCGCCACGCAGGGGGGGGGGGGTCGTGCCCCCCCTGCCCGCACCTGCAGCCAGGACTGAGTGCAGAGGGTGCCCGAGAGGACGAAGTCTTTGGAGAGCCGTCCTCTCGCCCCAGGCGTGGAGGAGGGCACGAGCCCCTGGACAGCCCGACCTACCAGCCAGCCCGAGTGTGAACCCAGAAGCTCGCGAGCGCACCGCAGAGGGCAGACACCTGTAGGGCGAGCCCCGCCTGGAGGTCCCCAGAGGTCCCCAGCTGGCTTCGGGAGCCCCAGGCAGGGCCAACAGAGTTCAACAACTGCCATGAAACCGAAGACGACGGCGACGACCACGACGACGGCGATGACGACGACCACGACGACGTCGACCACGACGGTGGTTCTGGCCGTGCCCGGTTCGGGGCTGGACCGCCCTGATCGGCGGAGCGAGGTCTCGTCTGAGCCGCCGTCGTCATGCATCATCTCCTGCGGGCGGCGGTCGTGCAACGCATGATCGTTTATTTCGGACGGCATGATGGTTTTAGTCGCCCTTGAGAGCCAGACGCCAAGATCTTCACCACATTCCACAATCAGTGCTTGCACTGAAGGGGTCCTAGCGGAGATTGAAAGATTTAGCGAAAACTCCAGGCCGATTTCGGTACACCCCGGGTCCACGGTTGCTGGTTCCGGGCCGATTTCGGTGGGCGGCGGGATTCCCGGGTCTCCTTTTCCAGGGTTCCTAGTCGATCTTCTTATCGATCGGTCTCACAAACGATCTCGTCACCCACCCCCCTATAAATCTCACAATCGATTTCACAATCGATTCTCATTATCGATATCACAGTCGCTGCCATTGCATGCGCGACCTCACGATCGATCTCATGATCGATCTCTCTGAACCGACTT